CTTTCCTGCATTGCGACCACATCGTGACCCAGTTCCTATTGATGAGGGGATGCCGCGTGCTTGTGCCTGGAGTCCGCGCTCGGAGAAGAAGTCCGTTGACCGCCTCCGATCGATACGGTTATTGCTGGACAGGCTGTCCCCCTTAGAGGTAACGTTTATTTATAGAGTCTACATTTTATTATTTGCACATATTATATTCATGTTATTATATTTTATATGTTGTAATTGTACAGGTGAACTGGATGCCTTTCGGCCCGAACCCTAGTGTTAGGGTACCCAGGACCCTGTACACGGGACTCATTCAGTATCGTGACATCGTCGAAGCGTACATGCCCCAGCGTTGTCTTCGCCAACTTGGATTTGTCCAAGTTGTCCCTCCTCCCCCGGCGTGCCCGATGAAGGCGGTCCGACCTGCATCGTCGAGGGAGTACGTCGTGGAATGGCCGGATATCATGACCGGGACGTGGGACCAGTTTCCGATGGTGGCTCGATTATGGACAGCGGAGTTGCAGCGGCCGCCCTCTGGGGTTACTCCCATGTGTGACCATTACTACATGGAATGGTTCAACCGGTATTCGCACCCGAGGTTGATCGCTGATCTCGACCACAGCGATGATGATTATGTGCCACCGCCTACTGCCACGGAAGCGGTATGTCTTTTATTATATTTATCGTTGTCTTTTATTTAAGTTTTATTTGTTGTTATTGTATTTCATCTTCTGTTTTTTGTTGTATGAAGTGGATGGGAAAGATAATGCAAGACGTTCAGAAACTCTCTCTTGAGAAGGACAGCATGAGTGCAACAGGGAGAGCTGTTGTTGATAGTCTGGAACAGACCCTTGCGCAGTGGGAGTCGTCGTCGAGGAGGGATTACTGATGGTTATTGTATTTTATTTATAGAACATTATGTTGGACATTATGTTGTAAAATTGTAACATTTTAGATTGTTCTTTTAGCTTCCAACTTAAACATATTATCAGTGCTGTTTTTAAATTTTGATATAACCGTTCGTGGATCCGCGCAACTTACCCATGCAACATATAGAATGCAGTAAGCAATACAATATAAAATATTAATGTTCTCATTAAAAGAGCAACGTACAAATAAGATTACAAATAAAGAATGTAAACAAGAAAAACTAAAATGCAGCTAGGGTGTTCCATTCGTGGATCCGGTCATTATATAGCGCATCCCAACCCTCTACGCTCGCTGTGCGAATGTTGTACCACCGAGGTATAATCGGTGGCACCGGAAAATCGGTTGACATGTCTAGTCGGATGAAATGTCTGTATGACGACCCAAGAAACGCAATAGCTAGCTCTCTGACCGGTGTGGTGACAGTCTCACGCGACCGCCAAGGGAGAACCGTGGTACAAGGATAATAAGCTTGACTATGCACTCCCAGGCCGAAATGCATGACTGCGCATTTGTAAATGTTTGCAACGGCAAACAGATCTAGGGGCGCGTCAAAATAATGATTTTCGCCGCAAGGTCCACCTCCCCACCGGATACGTCGGAGAGCGCCATCCAAGTCATCCTCGTACACATGACGATAAACATTTCGGTTAGAGGCAATTTCGCTGTACATCAACTCACGCACCAAACCGTAGTTGTCTTCGCCCATTTGAAAAACATCAGCCACGACCCGGAATCCGCAGTTACCATCTCCGATTACATCATTCCACCCTTCCACGTACGACATGATGATCGCAGGTATCCTTTCCTTGTACGGAAACTGATCAACATCGTTTCTTCCTATTCACCAAATAATTAATTATAGACAGTTAAGAAGACAGGAGTAACACTTTAAAACTATGTGCAATAAAAACAACCAAAACGTACCAAGTCTCAGGGGCATATTCACAGACGATGAAGATTGACTACGACTAGATGACGATGTCCGACCACGAGAACGACCACGACCATGACCACGGATATACTCAAACGCACTCCTGTTCCGCCGCTGTCGACCTCGAGGACGGTCAACTCCTTCGGGTTCCTCATAATCTAAGTTAGACGGGTGGAACATGTCATGAAGCACATGAGTAGCGTCACGAATAATAGAAGGATGGCTGGAGGACACTCGGTCGTACATCGAACGGAACTGCTCCAACTCTTCCTGTTCACGGTCGGCCGTTTGATTGTCTGCATGCTCACCAATAACAAGCGTCCTCCAGAATGAATGGACCTGATCAACATGTAACGACGCCCTTTCTTCTGTAATAACGCGATGAATGGTGCATGCGCAAGGTAATCCATGAGTTACTGAAATAGTACACCCACACCGAGTATACACTTCGTCAGCCAAGTCCCTCACCCTGTTCAGCTCAGTGAGAATCAACCCCAAGCAGTAGTGCGACACACGACCATGGAGAATCTTAAATATAAAATGGCTATACATCGTACCATGTCGTCGTCTGGAGTCCTCTAGAGAGTTCCTGATGTCGTTCTTCTGAGTTTCAATTGACTTGTTCAGTCTAGCGAACAGTGTATCCAAAGCAGCGGTCGATGAATCAATCCAGTCCTTGGTAGCTCTATGAGCGCTCTCAACTCTACATGTTGTAGTGTTCCCAAAATGAAGTACCTGGTTTGTCCAATATTTGACAAACTTTTCCCTATGAGGGACCCATTGATGCATCACATAGTCCACCAGTGCCGGACACCACTGGTACGAATCCCTGAAGTTAGCCAATGCTCGCTCATACGCTTCCTCTGTGGTAGCCTGTAGGATCTTCCGCCACTTACCATTCACCAATCTCTCTGCCATTTCCAAATTCTTCCTGAAAAGGTTGTAGGCTTTCACTTTCACGCAGTTGTTGATGTGCCATGTGCACAATAAGTGGTTCGATTCGGGAAACAGCTCTGCTATGGGGGCAAAGAGACCTCCCTCACAGTCGCTGACGATGGCTGCTGGATGAACATTAGGCCCGATGTAGTTTCTCAGCTTCTCCAAAACCCAATAATAACTTGGAGCCGTCTCATCCCTGATGATTGCATGACCAATCAGAAAGTTCTGGTTCGTTGGAGCCATCCCAACCATCTCAACCAGAGGGAACTTGTACTTGTTTGTCTTGTACGTTGAGTCGATCAAAATCACAAATGGCCAAGACTTGATCATATCAGCACAATCAGGATGCACAAGGAAAAGATGAGTCACCTCCGCTGTATCTTCATCAGAATCAAACCAGAACAGGTAACCACGTGATTGTGCCTGGTGTAGTAGCTGCTGTATAGGGTTCCTTCCCTCTGACCGTTCAAACCTGAGTTGTTGTCTGACGTTGTAGATGTGTCTTCGGTTTGGATGGTCTTCTGGAAATTTCTCTAACACAGATGCTAATATTTTAGCAGGCTTCACTTGAGCATCACTCATTTCTTTCACAACTAGTTTCGCAGCAGGACTTAAGCCACTCAGTTGTCGATGACCCTCTTCATATACTATCATCTCATGGTTGTGATACCCCCATTTAGAGTAACCTATCACTTCCCAACCGTCACGACTCCGTAGTTGTCGAACCTTTACTCTGAACTCACACCCACAACCTTTCCGCTTTGTGTCAAACCGAGTGGCTGTACGAAAATCTCTTTCTTCTCTTTTGCGATAACGGTCACATCTCAAAATGCGATCCATTCTACCATCCCGTTGAGATTTATGAGTTGCTACTACCAAGCAAAATCCAGCTGCAATTGCAACCTGTTTTGCCCAATCAATTGCATGTTGAGCTTCTTCGAATGGACCATCATGTCCAAATATCTCACTGTAATCATTTCCGTCTCCACCATATTCCTGCATCAATTATATATTACAATAAATACATTTAACGGATAATACATTTAATTTCTATATTTCCACATAATTAACACAAAAAAAACATAATTATATATAATCAAACTTAATTTTTTTAAAAACCCAATTCGAATTTTCAAACTAAATTTAAAAATATACCAATTCGAATTTTCAAATTTAATTTTACAAAAACCTATTTCGAATTTTCAAATTTAATTTACAAAAAACCCATTTCGAATTTTTTTAAAAAATCATTTTCGATTTTTTATTTTCACAAAAAAATTAAATAAAAAACAACAAAATCAAAAAGGAAAAAATAAAAATTAATTATTAAAGGTGGCGTCTGCCAGGGCTGCCACACCCACTGGACTGGCGCCTGGCAGGGCCGCCTCACCCAGTGGAGTGGCGCCTGGCCAGGACGCCGGTCTGGTGGTCTGGGCGTCTGGGCTGGACGCCACTCTGGTGGTCTGGGCGTCTAGCCTGGACGCCACTCTGGTGGTTTTGGCGTCCGGCTTGGACGTCCAGGCTACGGTTTGGGCGTCCACCCTAGGCGCCGTAGCTACTACGACGGTAAACCGTGAATTTTAGCGGTCACTTACCTCGTTTTCCGTCGACGACGACGTACCTCCGGCGTCCCCCGCATCTCCGGCCTGCCATCCGGTCTCCCCCGACGAGCCAATACGGCTCCACATTTTTTACACCGAGATTATCTCAATTTTAGCAAAAGGGCATAATGGTCAAATCATAACATATTTGTGGGCTTTATGTGGTAATTTGTGGGCGATGTTTAGCGTTTCACTAAAACTCTTGTCCAAATTGTAATACTGTAATTTTTTTATGGATAAGGATGCTCCAACATAGAAATTGAATGCCACTCATAGTACACCAATCCAAAATTTTCAAACTTTAATGCCCCAAAATAAAAGTGTTAGTCCAAGTTGTAATTTGTTGAATGGATAAGGATGCTCAAACAAAGAAATTGAAAGTAGATTAAAAGTCACGTGCTTGTGAAAAATGTCTAAGATTGTTTCATCCACAAACAACCTTTTCAATATTTCAGAAAAAACGTTACAAATTCGTAATCCATAACCATTATTTGCGGCTGTTCTTCAATTGCCACCTGTATTCAACACGTGGCATTTTCTTGTTGGCTCTTCACTATGCACTTTCCCACCCACCTAAAAAAGCACTTTTCCTATTTAAACATCTTCACATTTCATTTAACTTAAAAATTATACACTTTTCTACTACTATAATCCAAAAAATTCTTCTAAATTTCTCATATTTTTCAGTCAGATTTTTTTTTTGAAGTGTTAAGTCTATTTGTTTCTTGTAAAAATGGAGATATCAGTAATTGGTAATTCACAGATGAAGATTGGGAAGATCGAAGAAAATCTGAGAGATTTATGTATTTCCAATTTTGGAAATAATAAACAGAAATCTAGGGTATTATTTGATCAATCAAAGATCAAGGAAAAGGGTAATTATGGGTTTCGATTTCCTCTTAGAGCTACGCAATCTAATGTTATACCTGTCGAGAAGACATCTGCTTCGCCTAATTCAATTTCTGTGAGCTTTCTCTTCTATATTTATTTTTTAATTTTAATTTTTCAAATTTTCTATTTAATTATTAATTGTTTTTGTTGTTGTTGCTGCTGCTGTGATTTAGTGATTATAATAAACCAATTATTGCAGTGTTTATGAATTATTATTATAAAGTGAAGAAAATCCAGTGAAAATTATTGTAGAATCTTCTGAGTCATCCAGTAAATACTGTAAGTGTTGTTTGGGCATATAGTTTTAGGAGAGTATTCTTGATGGGGTTTGTTAAGTAGAAGTGTATACAGACTAAAAATAAGGTAGTGTGTATTGTTAATTTTAGTAAAATTAGAAGCTTATGAGAAAATTCAAGTATACCACAAAGATGAGTAAAAATTGTTAATCAAGTGGTAATTTCGTAAGTAAAGCAACAATTTTTTGTTGAATGTTGCTTTCATAATGAAAATGTCACGACTGGGTAAAATTGTTGATTTATTTACAAAAATGTCACTCGATTGACATTTATGTTGTGATATATTGGGGTTTCCTCGAGTAAGAGATAGTTGGGACTAATGGAAGAGTAATGCTTTAAGAGAGTTGAGAGAGAAGATGAATATAATGTAGAGTAATGCTTTAAGAGAATTGAGAGAGAAGATGAATATAATATGTTAAAGATGAAAATGGAAAACAGTATTATATCGAATGGACATAGCCCAAGAGAGAAGTGAGTCGATTTTTGTGGGACAATAAGAGAGATATGAGAAAGTTCTTGTAGGATAGAGGGAGTATGATTTTTGTATGGTAAGGTATTCAAGGCCAAAGAAGGGGAAGTTGTTTTGATTGCTTTGAATGTTTTTTATTTCACCATTTTTTTCAGGGGTGAGGAGTATTGAAGGTTATGTATGCCGCAAAATGGTGAATTCAATTGTGGTAATGTTGCTAATGGAGCAACAGTTTGAGATCGAAAATTTGTGGGAATTAATGAAGAATTTTGTGAGAATTTGTCAGTCAAGAGTGCAAGTTTTGGTCATAATTGATCTCAAAACTTGTAGTATAGTTTCAATATATATATTTATCTTCAAGTTTTCAATGGATGAGTTTGGTCCTTGGATTGTATTTTTGTCATTATCGAACCCACTATCAATCTCATGTCTAATCGTACGATTTATTGAATATCCAGGTTGATGGTGTAAACCTTTTTGTTGGGTTACCCGTAGATACAGTGTCAAGGGACAACACACTGAATCATGAGAGAGCTATAACTGCTGGCTTAAAAGCTTTGAAGCTAATGGGCGTTGATGGTGTGGAGCTTCCTGTCTGGTGGGGAATTGTTGAGAAGGATGCTATGGGAAAGTATGACTGGTCTGGCTACCTTGCTATTGCAGAGATGGTCCACAAATTGGGTTTAAAGCTGCGTGTAAGCCTCTGCTTCCATGCTTCTCAGGAACCAAAAATTCCTCTCCCTACTTGGGTTTCTCAATTTGGTGAGGCTGACCCAAGTATATACTTCACCGACCGCTTGGGGCAACAATACAAAGAGTGTTTATCATTAGCTGTAGATGATTTGCCTATTTTTGACAGTAGATCGCCAATTGAAGTGTATCAAAATTTCTGTGAGAGCTTCAAATCAACATTTTCACCTTTCATGGGATCCACTATCACTGTGAGTATGGATACCTGCTTTAGTATAATTTGCTATCACACTTGTGAGGTAGCTTTATTGCTAACTAATGTCTTTCCTATTCTTTTCTGTAGGGTGTCACAATAGGGCTTGGACCTGATGGCGAGCTTCGTTACCCTTCATGCCATGATTCAGCATCACACAATAACCACTCGGGTGTTGGAGAATTCCAGTGCTACGACAAATACATGCTCACATACCTCAAGCAGTATGCTGAAAAGATGGGCAAACCAATGTGGGGTCTGGGTGGGCCTCATGACGTTCCTTCATACAATGAGCCTCCTTGTGCGAAAAACTTCTTTAAGGATAATGGTGGATCTTGGGAGACTCCTTATGGCGACTTCTTTCTTTCATGGTATTCCAACCAGCTCATCTCTCATGGGAACCGCATTCTTTCCATTGCCTTGACTGTTTTCGGTGAAACTCCATTGATCATTTCTGGAAAATTACCCTTGGTACATTCATGGTATAAGACTCAGTCCCACCCTTCAGAGTTGACTGCTGGTTTTTACAACACAGTTAATAGAGATGGATATGAAGAAGTTATTGAGGTGTTTGGCAAGAATTCATGCAGAATAATATTGCCAGGATTGGACCTGTCAGACGCTCGCGAACCAAATGGATCAAGTCCTCAGTCATTACTTGCACAAATTAAAGATGTATGCAGAGTGCAAGGGGTGGGTATATCTGGCGAAAACCTTTCACTTTCTAAAGTAACTGATGGATTTTCTAATATAAAGAGCAATCTATCAGAAGAGGACCCAATAGTGGATTCGTTCACGTATCAAAGAATGGGGGCAGATTTTTTCTCCCCTAAACATTTTCCTATGTTCACAGCATTCGTTCGTGGAGTAAATCAGTTGGATATAGATGTCGATGATATGCCAGAAACTAGGAGAGTTGCAGAACCTGTACATGTGAAGTCAGAAGTTCTCCAGGTGCAAACTGCATAAATGTTCTTTCTTTAGAAGAGATTATGTAAATACTGATTATAGAGAAATTGTCATGTAAACCTGCTCTGTATCAATGTACTTGCCATAATGTTAAATTTGTAGTTATGTTGAAAGTTAAATACATAGTATTTGTTTCCCAGGTCTCCCTTATTTGGCTTATTGCAGCTGTTTAAGGTTACGACATGTAGGTTAATGATTGTTTAGAGCAAAAAAAAAGAAAAGTAAAACGTCTGTAGAGAGTGCAGCTCTCTCAGTCTAGTTTATGAACCTTATGCTCGCTGAATGCTTGCCCCTTTCAGTTTATTTTCGTCTTTCTCTTACTCTGTCTAGTCCAGCATTTTCCCCTTCGACCTCATGATTACTTCTCTTCTGCTCCTGATTGTTTGATCTGTATTTTGGTTATGACTTGTAACCTTGAACTGGTACATCTGATCCCCTAAATAGTTCAAGGCTTAGCTTCTGGCAAATCAAGTTTTGGGCTATGAAATTTTGTTGTTCCTTCAAGCAGCAAAGGACACTTCTCATTGATAATTCTTGTTCGGTTGCCATATTGCCCAAAATAATGGGCAAGTTTATTACAATACCTTGTTTATAATTCCATTGTTTTAAAACTAAGTGAGGCTTATTCTCATCTTGTTTGGGCAATATTTGGTTGAGGACATAATCTTGATTCCGCATTGGAATTTTACATAAATGGTGTTTTTAACATTTATTTTAGTTAAAATTTGTTACTAGACAATGATTACAAAAAATTGCTCAGGACATTGTCCAGGATACTCACTAGTTTTTAATTATTTTGCCAATTGTTGCCTGTTACAGCGGTGAGAATCCTCCAAGCTTTGAAGAAGGATTTCTCCTCAAAAGCATGTTTTTAGATACGCCGTGGAAATTGATGTTGAGCAAAAGTTCCAGCAAAATTTAAAATGCTCTGTACATAGCATACAATGGTTTGCTAAGGAAAGGAGTGGGTTTTCAAGAATTGAAGAAGGATTTTTGTGTTACAATTCCATGAAGTAAAAGAGTAATCATTTGCAGTAAACCCAACAGTAAACAATATTCAGCTATTTTTCCAAAGACATAAATGAAAGAAGTTTGACAGTATAAACTCGTAGGAGCAGACATAACTCGAAATATAAATGAACATATGTATCCCTTATCTTTACTCAAAAATTGGCATCAAATTAACAATATCCTTACGGACAGACATTAGCCGCTAATGCATATGAGAACCAATTTCATGATGATTTCTGAACTTCCACGACAATGTGTAAGCACCATACAAAAAATGAAGAAAGCGTGTATTGTGTAAGTATGTGGCTAAGAGGCAACATATGTGAGTTTACGAAACTGCCGACCAAATTCAGATGCTCTGTACATTGCATATAATGTTACAGCAAAGAGCCGCGGTGCACTCTGCATGAGACAGTTCGGAAGCCTTAAATGTACATTCATAACCCAGATTTCCATATTAAAACTGCCTTGGCCATGCCTTCAGTAAACTGTGTTCGATACTCATTCCTTCAATTATCTCAATTCCAGCTTCTTCTTGGCCTGAAATCAAGGGTGAAAGGACAAAGGATAAGAATTTCAAACAAAAAAATATTAATAACATGCACTTATTAAACCTACTTTCAAGGGTTTTTTATTTTGTTTTCTTCTTTTTTAATTTCCAGTTGATTTATGTCCGGACATCTTTAAAAGAGTTCATTACCCTCCTAATAGTCATATGTTCTTTAAAGAGTGTAGATGTCTATACTTTCGACTCTTTTGCTGTGAACGCCAATAGCAAGTCAATGCCCCGAATGCAGCGCTAGCAACAGCGAGAGCAAGAGCTGCTCCAATTGACACAACCATGGGATTTGTTGCCTCCATCTGTTCTTCAGCATGTGAATTCTGTACCTCGTCATGCCTTAGAAGGTCTTTGTCCTTGTATGCAGACAACAATGTTTTTCCGTAGTAACTAGCCAAGAACTTGAACACCTCTTCTTTGTCCCAATTAACTTGGCTGCTCGAGTCACCTTTCTGGCTCAAGTGACAAGAAGGACATAGCTGCTTTGGAGGCCAGATCATCTTCGGATAGTTGGGATCCCCAGTCTCGAGAGCAGCTTCTTCTTTACTTAGCCTTTCATTGACCTGATTATGCACGTCCCATAACCAAAGGGCAAAGTCACGTGTACTGTTTAAAGGACTGTCAACCCTGAAATGTAAAATAATCTCACATCAAATGACCATGCTGAAACTTTCGAACTGAAGAAATTGCTAAGAAGTCAAAGGAGTGGATTTTAGCATCCTCACCTCGAACACATGTCAAAAAAATGTTCCCGACATTCCTCGCAGATAAAAAAGTTGTGAATGAATTCACATATGGTTGTGAATGCAGTGTGGCTCTCACCATTTTCAACCTTCACAGAAAGGGAGTGCAATAGAACCCATAATCCACAACTGCAGATAAAGCAAACCCATAATAAGACATTATAACATTTTTCAAAATTCTACAGCTCTCATTTTAACGAACTAGGGGGGGTGTATGGTATGGGGTTATTATCAAAGACTAAGCAAATAAAATATGCTTCTTCCCACCATGGATATCTGGTATCAGATGCCGTAAACGAAGTGCTGAGATAATTTATGGGTTTTTGTTGTTGATTGTTATGCCATTAAGATCATTTCCTTTACCGTTTTCATACCCTCAAAGTCCTCTACTTTGATTCCTCACCTCTACCATGGTAATTGTACTTCCATTCCCTTTCTTGAGCCACCCTACACCACCACATCACAACTTCTGCCTGCACCACCCACCATAATCACCTAACACCACCCTCACCGGCACCACCCACCACCACAGCCCACACCAGCATTGCCATTGCGGCCCTACCAGCGATCGTACTGTCATACCCCACCCTAACCACCATGAATATCCTTCACCCGGCCGAAACCTCACCCTAACAGCCCAGAAACCACCCCTCACCTCTCACCTGCTCAAAACCCCACCCTAACCAACCCACCCCGAAACCACCGCACCCATTCCAAACCCACCCGAAATCAGACCAACCACCCCGAAACCACCCTCACCGCCCTGAAACCTACCAGATCTACAAGAATATCGGTAAAGAGAGAGAGAGAGAGAGAGAGAGAGAAAGAGAGGGGAGGAGCAATAGTAGCAACAAGAGGGCGATGGGGGCAGGAGGATGGTGGTGGAGGGTGGTTGAAGGGAAGGGTTGATTGAAGGGTAGGGTGGTGGTGGTGGTGATGGTGGTTGTATGGAAGGGTAAAGCTAATGGATTTTAAAACAAACAACCACCTAATATAAGGGTTAATATTTCATTCTCCTTGTTTCCCTTTGTTAAACCATTCGCCCCCTAAATCATCCATAAGAGTATCATTGTACAACGACAAAAAGATAAAACATAGAATTCAATATTCTAACGCTATACTGCCATTAAATATCATCAAGTGTAGGCATAGATTTTTAACTGTTTCTACTTCTACCAATGTATATCACAGGGAAAAAGAAACAGCCTAGCAAAAGTAGAAATGTTTCAAATATGATCAATGGAGAAAGGTAATCTTGAGTACTGAAAGGCAAGTCAAAAACACACCACATTCCAATGGAATTAACTTAAATTTTCAATATAATGGAAGTCTTTTATAAAGCAACAGAGCAAAGGAATACAATCCTTGTGTAAAGCACTACTGGAAGAATGGGAGGCAGTATTGTTCCTTCTTCCCACCCCCCAAAATAAAAAAAATAATAAAAAAAAGTGTAATAGAGTTAATTTGATTGCCACATACTTCAACATAAATTAAACAAACTGAAGAAGCTAAGTTGAAATTACAACAGAACAAGGAGCTCACACACCTAAAGCCTCTTGTATCATTCCTGCTTCCTCGACAGAACATCTGCAACAGCCAAACAAGAGATATCAAAACGTATTTCATTGAAATGTTCAGCTAAGAAAACAATTTTTTTGTGAAAAAAAAAAGAAAAAAGAAAAAAAAAGATGACATTTATTATGATCAAATTTAACAATTAATTCCTGGCTAACTAGGAGTGCATTGTTTTCATATTACAAATTACTTTGGCTAAATAATTGCCACTTTAACTATCTACTCCCTATATTTTTTTGTTCCCTGAAATAGCAATTAAAGCATCTCACCTGAAAAAAATTAGAGAAACAGTTTCCCTACAATCGATTTGATGAGTACATATATACACCCTAATGGCCTAATCTCCAGACCCAGCAGTAGGCAGGAATTTTGTGTTCGTAAATTGACTAAACTCTGATGACAATGCAATTTTCTCCTACCCATGTTTGGCAGACTTTGGGCAAGGGTGAGGATACGAAGGGATGGCTAAGGTGGAGGCAAGGAGGTGCTAAAGAAAGAGAGAAAGCATGATGGATACGGCTGGCAAGGAGGCTGGTATGCTGACTAAAGGTAAGGAACAGGAACAGGGGAGGTGTAAGATAGCAATATACCAGAAATAAAACAAGAATTAGTAAAGAGAAGTACCAACCCAGTATCCACGAGGAACATCTTTTCCACAAATCTGGAAACTCCCAAGAATTTTCGTTGCATTTTCAGATATGCCATTTTCTTTATTATCTGCCATAATCTCTGGTGGATACAAGTCATCAAAGTTGACAAGTATCTCAGCACTTCCTTTACGGCATCTGATACCAGATATCCATGGTGGAAGAAAAAAAAAAAAACCCATAAATTAGGCACTTCCTTACAGCATTGATAAAATTATGGTCACATCTGGCAGATGTGATGTTTGGTGAGAACTATATGGCATACCTCCTTGAAGGATGATGAGCTGCTATAAGTTGAAGAAACCTCACGAGTGAAGCTTTGGTCACCGTTTTAATCATCTGTCATTCCACATGTAGAATATAAAGAAATGAAGCCTGGAACAAGCCTAGCACGTATGTAATCTAAGCAGATGACTGACAGTACCTTATGCCGCATAATAATATCAAAAGCAGAAGATGTTGCTTCCTCAATGTCATAAACTGCTTGCGCAATCTTCATGCATAATAACAAATATTTTATTACACCAAATCAAGGCATCATCATCATCATCATTATCAACAACAACAATAAAAAATAAAAAATAAATAAAAAAAACTGATTCTTATAGTTAAAAGTACCTGCTCAGGAACTAAAGTCTTTGATTGAAGGTGCTCATGTTCATATTTATTGTCATCAAAACCATATGAGCTGTAGAAAGACAATCTAGCATTATTCTAGGAGCTAATAATGGAATGTAAAGATAAAATTCAATATAATACTACATCATGGATTAAATTTACACAAATTAACAATATAGCAGAATGAGCTTTCATGTGGATTAGTAGCCATGGTACATTTGTAGGCATTGCTTCTTCACAATCAGTTAGGGGAAAGACAGAAAACTAGAGTGGAATATGTCACCATGTTTTAGAGAGCAGCATAAACATTATGTCAGCATCTTTTGAAGAGAGAGAAAATTTATCACCATAGTTACAAAATAGGGGGGGGGGGGGGGCAATTTCAAACACCTTAATTAAGTTAACAATTAAACAATTATAAATAATAAAACAGAACTAAATGCAAAGTTGGAGTAACAAATTAAAAAAGAAACTTCATGAATCTTATTTCATTTTAATAATTTTGTAAATAGTCACCAAAAATATTTCACTTTTTCTAGAAAGGTAGTGAATAAATTTACTTCCTCCATTATGCAACAACCTCCATCTTTGGATGATTTGTAATTTCATTCTTTCACTCACCTCATCATGGGCACTTTCTCACATCTCTCTCTATATCTTCTCATTGCAAAAGTCTCCTTTGTATGCGAGCCAATCTCATTGTACTCCCTCCATCTCTATCTGTTTGCCCAATTGCAAATATTTGAGACAAACTTTAAAAACTTACAATAAATTCCTGTTAATCAAAAGGTGATAATATAGCCATGTGGGATCTTTTTGGATTCGTCTCATTGTATGTTTTTATTTATAGCAAGTTTTTCTAATATTACGAATATGGAAATATACATTTCAAGACACATCTTGGAGACCGTAAATACTAATGGGGTAAACAACAGGGACGAAGGGAGTACTATTTGAGAATGGAAGAAAAAATCACGGAGCACTAATGGGGTGTCAACCTTAATATGAAAAAGGAAGACTAGCAATTACATCAAGAGAACCAAGTTCCAAGGTTTGAATTCTAAATCTTTTGTGAGTATTTTCTTTAAATTGTCAATCCAGGCTGTTAAAGGAGGATTCCTTTAAATTGTCAATCCAGGCTGTTCACCAGTTTATGGCTTTGTGAATTGTGTACGGCCTAGGCTAGGGTTTAGGGTATGGGACCAGCTTTTTAACATACTAAGATATCTAGAAATAATAAAAAGAAGATTAAAACAAAGATAATCTTTATTATAACAAAGTAGATCTTGGTTTATAAAACCATCAAAGGAGGCACTATTGAGCTCCAACCAAAGGTCAAGGGGAAAAGAGAGAGGGAGAGTGAACAATGACCTCAATGCAATTCTTGGTAAGGAAACCCTCTTTATGTGCACATTTATAAATTGCACATATTTCCTTCATGGAGTATGATCGAATAACAATTGAAAGAACTATATTTGAGCTCAACAAAAGTTATAACTATGAAGTAAGGGTTAGTACAGAAAGCCAAAAACCATTCCCAAGGACACACACTTCGTGATTCACAATTGACATACATATTAAAAATTCCTCCAATTCCACATTTTCATTATACTGCTCCTTTGAGTAAACATAATGTCAGCTGGCCCACCGACACATACAACGAGTATTGTAACACCACATTTTCCCTATAGAATTTTTTTTAGTATAAAATAATATGTTGCACTAAGAAAATGTATCATGTAGTCATGTACATTAAATACAGAAGAAACTCAATAATCACAAACTTCCTTCATTTTTATTATTTGCAACAATTTGACTTTAACAATATTCAAATTTCTACATTGACATTAATCTTTTTTATGAATATTTAAAAAGCAAATATTATGTTAAATGTTGACAGTGAGTCTCAATGCATATTTTCAAAGTAAAAGATTTTCATGATTTTTACTCAAAAAGATTATTGAAGATAAAGAGTTGTCAAAGTGTGCTTTTTTTTTTTTTTTTTTTTTTTTTTCCCTAGAGTTGTCCTCTGTTAATACTTTTAATAAAGAGTAAATATCCTCAAGTACAGCAGCTATAATACCAAAGATCTGTACAGCAGCACTGCAGTGAAAAATGTCAAACCAAATCCATAATGCTAAACAAAAAGCATGCAACAAAATTAATGTGCCGCACAGAACCCAGAGTAAGAATTTACCAATCCCAAGTACCTTGAGAAAGAGAAATAATATTGTTTATGAACTAATTAGGTGCAATAGGACAATAGAATCCTCACCTATTCATTTTCTTATTTATCCAATTAAGCAGCCGATCAGCTGTGCGCCCATCCTTGATTGACATTATATCACCATCATTTCCATCCCAAGCAGCCGTTGATGCAAACGTACCAGGCCTACTCCAAAGAAGCATAGGGTAACGATCCACTGAAAACCTATCACATAGTTTGGCATTTATCTGTGCTGCCAAAAAAGTGAAAAAACATAAAATAAAAAAAGGATAATCACTAAAAAGAACTTGGTTATATGCATGCATTTATTAAAAGCAGAAGCAGCTAAAAATTACTGAATGAAAATGTTGGAACAAAGCTGAGGCATACATTATACACAATTGTTGAAGGAATTCCAATATACTGATGCTAATAATTGAACAGAGGACTGTCATTGCTAGTAGTTGAGATTTCACAACAATTTCAATGATCACTCTCCCATTACAAGAATATGATGTCATAATGACATTACAATCACAGGACCAACAACACAACCCACTCCGAGCAAAAGGACGAGAAAACCAGGTACATAAAAAGGAAAGGCAGTATCAAAATGAAAAAGTAAGAAAAATAGGAAGCTAAAATCATGTCATGTTTGCCTGGATTTTTGAATTATAGTAGAGCAAAAAAAAGAGCATACTAATTGCCTCATTTTTATTAGTCTTAAACTGTTCAAATTCATACAAAGTATATTATTACCTCAAATGACATCAATAAACAATTTTCTCCTTAACATCCCTTTTATACCCAAAAAAAATAAAAAAATAAAAAAAATAAACAGTGAAGAGTAGGTGCAATCACAATAAGGTTGCCATATAACCATTTCATCAACACAAGCTGTATTACACATAGGATAGACTCAGCTCGACAGATTTAGACTTCAACCTGATAGCTGACATAATAGCCACATCCTCACTAAAGAAGAGCAAAAAATATGCAATCACAGAGGTAATAAAGGTGACACAGGAGCAAAGCACCAATACCTTTGAGGCACAATCTACCCTAGCCATCAAAAGGATTCCTGGATGTGCTGCATCAGGCCCATTAAAAATCCTTGCAACTTTTTCATAATGAGGCTGCATGAAGATAGTTCCACTTTATCACACAGTTGGTTATAAAGAAGCACTATTTGCAGCAAAAAAACTAATAAGCACTTGATTCTACCTTATAATTTCTGCATGCAGGGCACCTGTCAGATCACATTGTAAGTTTAGAAAGTCAGCATATGATAACAATCGGCAATATAACCTAGGGCTCATATAGTATCTAAATAGCTATGATAATGTTAGATTTAATCATAAACTTTCGTATAATTGTAGTCCCCAATGATTCGGAGAACCAACAAGATGCAAGCAAAGTTCAACTCCAAGATTTCTATTTTTTATTGGGACGGGGGTGGTTTACAGAAAACATATAATACCAACTTAGCCACCCTTTTTAAGAGTTATCCCTAAGCATCAGTTGTTCATCAAGATTCAGGAATAAGCTATGTTCTAGAAAGAGTCCCTAGTCCCTACCTTGAAACTCTTCACATCCTTGGTACTAACAATCAAACATGACATCACCAAATTTTTTTTATTGTTATTCATAAGAAATATTTAATTAGAACTGCACAGAACAATATCTAATAGAAGGAGAAAGTAACCAAAAAAACCACAACTACAAATTAGCCCAGTTTCTTAGAAAATTTGGGTAATCTCACCTCCTTAGCCCATAAAGAATTAAAGAGAGCCTAAAATATATAAATAGATCATTATGGCCCAAAAAGAAAGAAAAAAAAAAAAACACAGCACATCTCCTTTTACCAAAGTGGAAAAACTGCAACTACAGTATAAAGCAACTACATGAAATTCAGTATGTAGAAACAATCTCAAGTCTCCAAAACCCCAGAAAGACAATCAACATAGTGCAAGAAGGCAGTAAAGCAATGATCCGTTTCATTTCTTCTAGATAAGCTGACTTCTATTGCAACCAGAAGCTGGAACTTCCTCGGGTTAATTATTTTTACATATACTGAGGTATAGCAAAAAAACCCAAGGGCAGACCAAAGACATAGCTAACAACTAACAAAGCCACTTTTACTTTTTTCTGCCTTTGAGAGAGGGCAGCTTAAATCTAAGCAACATGTTACTATTAACAATTCCAAAAAAGTTCGTTACAAAGTTCTAAAGCAAGGAATATTAAAGTTAAGAGATCTCATGTTAAATTCTTTTTTCAAATTTGTTTCATATGTTACAAAAGTATCAATTTTGACAATCACCTTCGTAAATATGAAAAAAAAAAACATATTACTTGTTTTCGAGATATCTGGAACCGTAAAAGATAGGTACATTCTCTTTTTTCATTTTAGCTGAGACATTAAGGACATTTGTCAACATGTAATTTCAAATATTCATATCTTCCATTATCTATAGGCAAAAATTTTATACTTTGATTTTTGGAAAATAGAAATCGAAACGAATCTAACAAGATATGACTGAATTTCTTAAAAATAAATCACAAAAAGAAGTTAAGTAACTTATGTTAATAGTGTCCAAAGTCAAACATGCCAATTAAAATGAAATGGAGTAAGTATTTGTTATGATTATATATTTCTTTTTATGAAATTGTGTCTTTTTAAATAGCTTTGGCAAAATATATGTACTTCCTGCGTTTTTTTTAGTTGCATCACTTTGCAAATTGCGGACTCCTAGGCAATTTTAGGAGATAAGAGAGATAGAGAGTAAAATCAATGGACCCGTGTGATAGGAGAGAGATAGAAAGAGTTTAACTAAAAAGGAAAGTGATGCAACTAATTTGAAACTTTTGTTTTAGGAAAGTGATGCAACTAAAAAGAAATGGAGGAAATATTTAAGAAAAATAGGAGCTAAGTTCCTATTACATTGCAATACTACATAGTAAAATCGAACACAAGCAAGCTCAGGTTCTAAGTCCTTAGCACTAAAGGACCAATCTTTTTTTATTTTTTATAAAATCCCTTATACCAAAAGTTTTAACACTATCCCATTGGGGGAAAGACACATTTGTTTTCCAGAAACAGCTCCATATCTCTCTCCACCATATTTAACCGCCTTTAACCAATCAAGCAGCTCCAAATAACGGTCAGTCTCTCTTTTCTTTCTATCCAATGACAATTAGTGTTGCTGTGTTGATATAGATAATTATGATTCTGTGAATATAAAAAATCCCTCTGTGTTAATATCTTCCAAAAAAACATACAATCGAAATTAATTTTGTGATTCCACATTTTATGAGTTCGGAGTTTGATCAATGCTTAAATGGCATTGATCAAGACCTGGCCCACAGGATTGAGTCGGCGTGGCTTAAATGGAGAGCGGCCACAGGATTGTTATGTGACCGACGAATTCCTTTACAGTTGAAGGGGAAATTCTATAGGACTGTTATACTACCAGTGTTGCTTGCTTTATAGTACAGAATATTGGGCTTCTAAAAAGAAGCACATTAAAAAGATAGAGGTTACGGAAATGCGCATGTTAAGATGGATATGCGGGAACACTCTAAGAGATAGAATAAAAATTGAAATTATTCGCAAGAAAGTGGGAGTTGCGGGCATTGCAGACAAATTAAGGGAAAATCGCTTGCGTTGGTTCGGGCATGTAAGACAGAGACCACAGGGTGCACCGGTACGAAGAGTGGAATCATGGAGAGGTTAAACAAGGTAGAGGGAGACCAAAAATGACTAGGTTGGAAGGAGTTAAGAAGGATATGAACCATATTGATTTGCATGAGAATGAGGTATTTGATCGTAACGGATGGAGGAAGATTTTTGTGGATGACTACACGGAATAATCACTTTTGGTTCATGTAACCGACCCTACTTATGTGTTTAAGGCTTTGATTAACTGATCGATTGATTGATTGGAGTTTGATCAACGCTTGACGTAATCAAACGTTTATACTCATGTATTCATATTCAGGCATTAGATTTTTACATTGCTCCATGTATTGACGATCTTTGGCAACAAATATGAGCAAATAATGTTGTCCTCCCTTCAAAGAAAAAAAAAATGGTTACATATTATTTTGAGATGCCTTATCCCATAATTGCTACACTATCCCATCCGGGGAAAAATTGACACTATTGTTTTCCAGAAACAGTTCCAAATCTCTCTCCTTCATATTTTACCACCTTCAGCCAATAAAGAAGCTCCAAATAACGGTCAGTTCTCTCTTGTGTTTCTATAGTGGTGATAAGTAGTGTAGTTGTACATAATTATGATTCTGCAAATATAATGAAATCCCCCTGTGTTAATTTCACCAATGTCTAGGCAAAACCCAAGGAATGTTATCGAGAGTATTAAAGCCTCCAGTGTATTTTGGCAGCACCTCCCTATCCCAAGCAACAACTGCCTTTTAAATACTACCTCCGTCCTTTGTTAGTTGATCATTGCACAGAGACTAAGCATATGTTCATGTAAGTATATTTCTTTACAGGAGCATGTGTAGTTTTGTCTGTGACAGAAGGAGCAGCTTATATACTTCAGCAGCTTTCAGCCCTTTCTCGATCAACTGATTCGCATGTACCTAATAAGCTATAACCCTAACAATGTCACAATTTCCATGAGTCATGATTCATGCTCTCCCTAGGCAAGACATGAACCCTGATGTCAAAGACTTGATTCTTGGACATGAAAATATACAATGCATGTATAGTAGTGAGTTTCTAGGAAGACAAAGAAGCATAAGGGTACTAAAATTACAGCTCCTCTTCTACCATCTCCAACTACCTAAGCTAAACATAAGTATTACTCTAGTTTAATTTCGTAAATTTCAGAAAAGAGCAGTTGTGCCATTTGAAACACACCCCCTTCCCATAATTACAACTTAATACTACTAGTAGGTTACAAGTAAATCCGCCCCTATCACAACAATTCAAAACATCTACATCACCCCCTATATGCCCCCACAAAATTCTTATAACACCCCCATGGCCCCATCCTCCTAATAACTCTACTCCACGACACCCCGCTAATGAGATGGGCCAGTACACAATTATCAACAAAACACTAAGACTGCTGTCTGCAATTGCTAATGCTTTCTTTACCTCCGCAGTTGCAATAAACGCAATTCCTGTAATCGCTAGTGCAACACTTACCACGAATAGCAACTACTCCATAATAATTCATACTAAATCACACTTTTCTAGTTTTCTGTCAACAACAATTGTCCAAACCCACCAAAACATTAACAACCAACTAAAATTGGGGCAAATTAAGATCATCAATTCAAATAATCAAACATAAATACAGTCAATTATGTCCAATTCAATTCATCCAAAACAAAAATCAATCAAATCTACGAATAACATATCAAAATCCAAACAATTAAAATAATTCACTAACCAATGAGCAAAGAATTCGACAATAGCAAAAGTAGCAGGGGTTTCACGAAGAACATCCTTGAAATTAGTATCATTCAATTCAACAAAAACATCATGAAATTCACCATTAACAGAATCATCGCTAATCTTCCGAAGAATTGAACGAGATCCAATCGACGAAGACGAAACCTCGAAATTCAAGTGAGAGAAAACAAGAAGAATCACAAAAAATGAATACATTGAAGTTTGATTGAAGATCATCAAAAAATTGTAGAGTTGATTGAAAATGGCGGAAGTATAAAAAGATGTTTTGGTTTGGTTGAAGTGAGTTTAGTTGTTCAAACAAACTTCAATAATGGAGTTGTAAAATAATGGTGAAGAAAGAAAGCGCGCAGGTTGTATGAGAGCAAAGTTAGGTTAATCCCTGTTTTTTCAAGTTTTGTTTTGTCTTTTTACATTTTTTTAGATTTTCCATGACATGATCTTTGAGCTTTTTCAGTTTTTTTTATGTTACCTCCGTTTTAATACTCCTTCCGCCCGCTATTATCTGCATCATTTACTAAAAATAGGTGCTCTCTATTATCTGCAACAATTTTTCTTATTTCCTATTTTGGTAAATTTTTAGCAATAAAATGTCAACTTTACCGTTACTTAAAATTTTTAACTTTGTTTACAATTTGTTAATTACATGGACTTACCAACTAATCCACCACCTTACCCCAACCACCTTCGCCGCCCCTACCACAAGCCCAGACGAGCCCAGAGCACCAGCACCACCGCAATTCGTCGCGCAATTCTCCACCACCTTACCCCAGCCACCTTTGCCCCAGCACCACCACAATTCGTCACCACCTTACCCTAGCACCACCGCACTTCGTCGTCGCGCAATCCTTCAGATCTGGGTTTCATGGGTTTGGTGGTGGGTTTCGTGGTGGTTTCGGGGGGTTTCGTGGTGGGTTTCGTGGGTTTGGTTTGTGGGGTGGTGGGTTTTGGTGGTGGTTTGGGGCGGTTTCGTGGGTTTGGTTTGTGGGGTGGTGGATTTTGGTGGTGGGTTTCGTAGGTTTGGTTTGTGGGGTGGTGGGTTTTGGTGGTGGTTTGGGGGGGTTTCTTGGTGGGTTTCGTGGGTTTGGTTTGTGGGGTGGTGGGTTTTAGTGGTGGTTTCGGTGGTTTCGATGGCTCGTGGGGTGGTGCGGTGGTTCGTGGGTTGGGTGTTGGTGGTTCGTGGGGTGGTGCGGTGGTTTGTGGGGTGGTTGTTCTCCATTCATTAATTGTGTGTTTTATTTTAGTTTAGTTTAATTATCCCTTCTCTCTCCTCTTACTTTTCAATAATCTTGTTTAAGAAGTTTTGCCTAGGAGACCGTATTTTACTCCTTTGTTGCAGATAATCCCGAGCGGAGGGAGTATTTACGGAATCAATAATAATAACATTTATATAATACTAAAACAGACACACGTGTCATTTGTATATTTTTTTTACGGCTATTTCACCAAATGCCACTGAGCAATTGCGAAATTCACCAAATGCCATCTGACTTTTCAAAATTCACTAAATGCCACCGAGTTTTAAGAAAATTCACCGAGTGCCATTAATGACTGAAAGTCGTTAGTTGACCGTTGGTGGACCCCACCACTTGCCACGTGTCACTTTCTGATTGGTCCGTTTTTTAAAAAAAATTAAATAAAAAAAATTACAAAAATTCCAAAAACAAACCAAAATATTAAAAAAAATAATTAAAAAAAAACCCCAAACCTCAAACCCCAGCCACCAGCCCACCTGCACCGGCGTCCCGGCAGCCATCGGTCCCCCTCCCTTTCCCCTCCTCTTCCCCCATCGCGCCCCACCGGAGCTTTAAACACAAAATCCAAAACCCCACCCCCCGTCGAGACTGAGAAGAATGAGGTAGCCTCTGATTAAACAACAAAGAAGCTCCAACACCAACACGACCGGATGAACCGCCACCAAAGACCCTTCCAACACCGGCGCCCGCCATAACTTCTGCCTTCTAAGTAAGAATTCAGCTAAAAAACTTGGGAATTTTAAGTAACCTTGATCGATTAATTAAAGGGTTCTAAGAAGAATATGGAAATTTCGATTTCATGGGGGGAAGAAGAAGATGAAGATGAAGGGATTTTCAGAGCTTATGACGGAAAAAGCTGGTGATGATGAGTTCAGTGATGTGGGAAGTGTGAGAACCCGAAGTTCGCACCCCCATCACTTAGTACAAGAAGCTTCAAAATGGAGGAGAGAGAAAATCAGTTGAATTTCTGTAAAAGTTTTGATTTTTCTGGAAAAAAATGAAGAACAGAGAACCCGAAATACGTGCGACGGGGGGAGGTGGGTCGTGACGGAAGAGGAGGGGAAAGGGAGGGGGCTGTTGGATTTGATGCGTTTTCTGGTGGTGGGGTTAAGGGGGGTGGCTGTTGTGGTGTTGGTCGGAAGTTATGGAGGAAAAGGAGGGTGGTGGGGCTGGGGTGGTGGCTAGGGTTTGGGTTTTTTTTTTTTTTTTTTATAATTTTTTAATATTTTTGGTTTTTTCTTTTATAATTTTTTTTTAAAATTTTTGTTTAATTATTTTTTTTAAAAAGGAACCAATCAGAAGGTGACACGTGACAAGTGGTGGGGTCAACTAACGGTCAACTAACCGACAATGACGGTCAACTAACGAAAATGGCATTTGGTGATATTATACTAAAACTCAGTGGCATTTGGTGAATTTTGAAAAGTTCGATGGCATTTGGTGAATTTCGAAATTACTCAGTGGCATTTGGTGAAATAGCCATTTTTTTTAAACTTTTTATGGTAAATATACTTTATATATATTCATCAAATCATTTAATTGTGATTTACTTTACTAATAAAAATATATATATATATATTTGTAATTCACATATTTTCCATATCTTTTATTGTATATTATTATTATTATTATTATTATTATTATTATTATTATTATTATTATTATTATTATTATTATTATTATTATTATTATTATTATTATTATTATTATTATTATTATTATTATTATCTCAAAAACAGACAAGTCATACAACCTACAGTAATGTAGTGGGAAGGCGAGATACAAGATGGGCCCCCACTCCTCTAGCTATAGCAAAGCCTACCCTAGTGAAGATATGAGCTGCCGCACGAGCCCCAATGCCTTGCGTCGTCGAGAACCTCTGAACCCGCTTCAGCTACGCAACAACCTCCTTCTCTAATTCCCCAAGCGAAGAAAAGGAGAAGGGAATGAAACCATGTCCAATCAGCCGACACCTAGCTTCATACTTCACCCGCTTTCGATGAGCCGCATCAGCCACAACCCGTCCAGGAACAAAGTCAAATAGCCCTGTCTGTGTCAAAGGAGAAGACCCTGTTAAGTCCACACAAACATTGCGACCACGATCCCAGCAATAAAGTAACACATCAGCAGGTCTGAGTGGCCCGTCATTTCCTCCAGACAACCCTATGTCAACCTTCTTTCTTGCTGAAATCCCAGATCTGTAACAAATATCAACAAGAGTATCTCGGACAACATTATGCCGACATTTAATACCCACAATACCAGCACACGACACCGCGTGATCATCGAAAATATTCCCATTAAAATCCCGAGAACAAGCAGTAAAAAAAATATCCAATAGTTAGAGACATTAAAGTTCCTTCCCAAAAGTTAGTCTTACCTAACATCCAGAAACTAACTAATCCTAGGCCAGTTGCAGCATTTTCTTCTTCTTCTCTGGTTCAGCAACAACATAGTAGTAAAAAAAAAAGACCCCTCACTTCATTACCAGACCTGACAAGTGGGGAACTCAGCATCATCAGTACACTCAACATGCCAGGAATTGCACATGATGCATTTTTCAGCATTGATCAGATGTTACATGATGAAAACAATATGGATCACAATCAAGCAAACAACATGGAAGGAACTGAACACAATGACAGCAACAACACTGAGCATGAAGGTGGATTTCAGGAACCCAAAAGTAGAAAACAGTTGACTGTTTTCTAGAAAAAGGGAGCTTGTAGATGCTTATCTACTGAAGCTAGAGGCGGGGGGGGGGGGGGGTGGAATTGCCAAGAGGCTACTTATCACAGCAAGCAAAAAAATTCAATGTACATAGGTCAACAATCTAGAGGCTATTCACAGACATCTAAACACAAATGGTAATGGGGAATGTCATAGATGTCAGAAGCAAGAAACTAGGCAAAACTAGACCTAAACCCAGAGAGTACACTGATGAGTTTCTACAATCAGCACCTTTGTACAAGAGGACAACTGAGAGAAGCTATGGAGCTGCTCTCAACATCTCACATGTCACCATCCATAAACTAAAGAAACAAGGGAGATTCAGAACACATACAAGCACAAATCAACCAGTACTGACATCCAATCACAAGATAGCAAGAATGAAATGGGTGTTAAATCATCTACTTCCTGCCACAGAGAATGGGGACCCTAAGTTTATGGACATGTAGCAAGTTGTCCACATTAATGAAAAATGGTTCTACTTGAACCCAGATACTAGGAGGTTTTACCTCATACCAAATGAAGCTAACCCATATATGTGCCAACAGCCCAAAAGGTTCAAAGTGAAGGGCATGTTCATGGCAGCCGTAGGGAAGCCAATTTTTTACCACCAAGGAGCAATATTACATGATGGAAAGTATGGAATATTTCCATTTGTGTATGAAAGCATAGCAAAGAAAAAAAGCAAAAACAGGGAGGCTGGTGTTGTAGAAATCAAGGCTACACAGAATCTCAACAAAGAAGCCATAAGGGCAATGCTACTGAATAATGGCATTCCAGGCATCAAAGCTAAATGGCCTTCCCATCTACCCAAGGACATATGGATTCAGTGGGATAATGCCAGACCTCATCAAATTCCAAGGGATGAGGAATTTGAATCAGCCTGTCACTCAAATGGATTCAATATTCAGTTCATTTTCCAGCCAGCTCAGTCCTTAGACTTAAATGTGCTAGATCTAGGGCTGTTCAATGTAATACAATCCATACAATACCAACCTTTTCCTAAGAACTTAGGGGAACTCATAGAGAAGGTCACAAAGGCTTATGATTTGTTCAACTCAATGCTGAACAAACATTGTTGGATAACACTCCAATGTTGCATGGAAGAAATACTCAATCACCTAGGAGGGAATAACTTCACCCCACCCCACAAAGGCAAGAAAAGGCTTGAAAGGATTGGGATGTTGCCAGAGCAATTAGAGGTGGACAAGAATGTGGTTCAACAGGCTGTTGATTACCTCAACATTGTTTTCATATCAACAGGTGAAGGGAATGAAGAAGATGAAGGCATGCAAGTAGATGCAGACTGAACACAAGTCAGACAAATGAACAAGGTTTTTGTGAGACTGCCACACATAACCAATGAATAACAAAGAAGCAGCATGAAACATAGTATGTGGTGTTTTCTGTTTTGTTTTTTAATTATAGTATGACAATCATTGGTTAGGTGTATTTTGTTTTAAGTCATGGCTACTAATGTTGTAAGGCAGTCTTAACAACCTTTATTTGGAAAATGTACAAATTTTTGGTTTAATTTATGAGATCAATTATGGTTGTTTTAGTTACAAGTAGTGACAATTAAAATGAGGTAACTGTGGAAAACAGACTCACACATCAATCCATCAGAGGGTTTTTTTTTTTTTTTTTTCACAGACATTGCATAAGTGGTTCCCTCAACAACAACTCTCATAAGGAGTTGTTGGAGCAATTCCAACTTACCAATGTTATGTACTTCATCAAATGAGTCCCTTCATCACTTGGATTTTCCAGGCACACACAACACAGTCAGGGACTCTTAGTTCACCTAGGGACATATATCACATAGGGGGACTCATACAGGTACAGACGTGCATGCCACAAATTGATCATCATTCACCATAGCACAAACCCCATTGCCAAATGCCTAACTAGTATCAAACAACCATAGGAAACAATTTCCCAATCACAACCAACCAATAATGTCAAACAAATACAATAGAAAACAGAGCATAAATAGGGCAACCAGCAACCAAATAAGTTCAAACAAGCCAGCATGCACATCAAGCCACCTCTACACCTAACAACAACATATACAATGTCTGTGCACCAGTCTCAAGATAACAAACACAGCCTAAATAGGCCTACAAGCATACAAGTGTGGTTAATATTCAGAAATCAATTCCCACAACCCACTTCTCCACCCACCAGCAGCCTACAATAACTCTTAAGAGGTGTCAACATAGCAAACACAACCTAATTAAGGCAACCAGCATGCAAGTGAGGATACTAATCATCGCACATCAGGTCAACCAAGCTACATTTTCACCCTATAACATGCCATAGTTACTAGCAATTACTCTCAATACACCAAATACACCCTAATTAGGACAACCACCATGCAATTCCAACTACAGAACACAATTCATTACAACCACTTCACATATTCTCCCAACAACAGTCAACAATTACAAGCAATAATTGTCAAAATAGGAAACATAACCTAAATATGGAATCAGCATGCAAATCAGGCTAATCAAGGCAAACCAGTTCAACCATGCAACCCCAAATCAGGATAACAATAAAAAACACCAGATAAATCACACAATGAGAGAACATGAAAACGAGGAGTCAATTAATTCTAGGGTAAGAAATGAGTTACACTGCATGATTAGTTGGAGCCAGAGGTGAAAGGGTTGTAATCCCCTTCAATTTCAACACCGTCAGCCACAGGGGGCTCAAATATGTCGCGTTTTTTCCCAGAGAGAAGTTGGGTAGACCTAAATATACCCTCCTCCACCCCCTTTAGAACGCATTTCTCCGCCAAAGGGGCCGCAACTGGGGGTTCATCAACATCGCTTTCCAGAATAACGACTTTAGGAGGTTTTTTGATGGAACCCTCAACCTTTTTTGCCCAAATCTGCATTCGAAGCCTGACCACGCTCCTCATTAGAGTCGTAAGTTGGGCAGACCCAAATCTACCCTCCTCCACCCCCTTTAGAACGCATTTCGCCGCCAAAGGGGCCGCAACTGGGGGTTCATCAACATCGTTTTCCAGAATAACGACTTCAGGAGGTTTTTTGATGGAACCCTCAACCTTTTTGCCCAGATCTGCATTCGAAGCCTGACCACGCTCCTCATTAGAGTCATAAGGAGCAAGCTTTGCACCCCCGCCAGTCCTACGCCTCATATCCAGGTAGGTTGCAGTACGCGTCCCTATCAAACGCATTTTTCCAGTGCGTCGCTGGCACTTGTAGGTGGCAACAACGCCAAGATCTGGCTTTTTTGGGTTTGGGGAACTCATTTTTGTAGGGTTTTCAAAGAAATAGATAGTAGAACACCCAGATCTGCAAAAGTTAGGGTTTCAAACAGGAGAGAGAGTGAGATAAGGGAGGTAGTTTTTGTGAGAAGACAGAGAGTGCGAGAGGAGAATGGGAAAACACAGATGATAACTGTGTTGGTTTCTGGAAGGAACCCAGATGAAGAGGCTTCATTAATGGTGGTGGGTGGACGAAACATTGAATACGGTAGTTGGGGAGATGAAGAGATTTTGATGTTTTGAAGAAAATGGGGATAGGTTATACTAATTTTTGGTGGGAATGATTAAGTTAGATGGAATGGTTTTAGGTTTATTTAAGTAGTGTTAAACATAAGGTTAGGATATAATCAGTTTTTGTTGAGGGTAATTTGGTAATTTTTCACTTAAAAAAGTTACTACAAAAGGAAAAAAAAAATCAGTTTGTTGCAAATAATAGGTAGCACCTCTTTCGAGTAAATGTTGCAGATAATAGTTAACGGAGGAAGTATTTGAGATTCACATATTTTCCATAAAATACTATTCTAACATCTATTACTTTGTTTATATATGGAGTATATATTATTTCCTAATCCTTATGTAGTATTTTATTCCTTCAAATCTTCAATATATTATATATGCAGTAATTTTGTAACAAAAAAAAAAAAAAATTATGCGTTTTAGAAATAATTGATTCATACTTGATTATTACTATTACTATTACTATTACTATTATTCTCTAAGCTTTATTTTATTATTCATATATTTTCTATTTAGAAATTTTAAAATGTTTTAATTTCTTATTAGGAAACGGCTTCCTAATAGCATAATTTTTTTTTTTACAATATCAATTTTATTTGATTTATTTTTTACTTTTAGTTATTTATGTATATCAAAAGCACCACAAATTAGATATGTTTTCCACTCTCCTAAATTGTTTCAAATACACTGTAGTAATTATTTATGTTACAATCTCATAGTGTTTAATATACAATTTTAAAATACTTAATTATTTAGTTAATAAAAGAAAAACGATATCAATTTATCATTTAAATTTTACACTTATATGTCTAATTAATTGTTGTCATTATATTTCATGTTTCATTTCATTATATACATAAAAAAAATACTATGGTTATATATTTTGTCCACATGCATTATACAAAATATTTTATTTTTGTTTTTTTAAAAAATTTTGTGTTGAATTTTAAAAGACATTTTTTGTCTAAGACAACTTTATAAATTTTTTTTGGCAAAGTCAGACCCTAATAATTTTTTTTTTTGGTAAAGGGTGACCAACCTCCACTTTCAAGCATTGACTCATTGGACTCTGGCGTTGACTCCCACGTGAGCTGCACGTGACCCTTATTTCTCCTAATTGCACCCTTTTCCCTCCATTTTTTTCACATAAAAATCCCTTTTCTTCTTATGTTGAATCCACAATGAAAATTTTTCCCTCATAAAGAAATTCGAAAGGTGCATTCTACAATTCAGAGCCGGTGGGATTGATCTTGTTCGCATTAAGGTGAGTAATTTCATAATAATTGTTCCAATTTTGTTAATTTAAAAAATTAGGGTTTTGATTTGGGTTTCATTTCAAGGAAATTGGTTCCCAGTATGGCTCGATTTGAAGAGAAGAAATGTGGATGTAGGTTTTCAGTTGCTAGAAGGACTTCGTGGACCCATGATAATCTAGGGAGAAAATTCTTTGCGTGCAAGTTCTTCAATCACGAAATAGGGCAAAGAGGAAGTAATACATTTGAATGGGTGGATGAGCATATACTAGACTGGCAAAGGGATGTAACCAATGTGCTTATAGCTAGCAGAAGGCTTTCCACTGATTTGAGTATCCATAAAGCAAGATTGGCATGTAATGAACATGAAAAGGATCGGTTGGCTTCTGAATTGAACATGCTGAAGAAGAACAACTACTACAAGACTAATTGGGGGTTGAGGGAGGAATAACATTCAAGGAAGAGGCTAATTGTTATCTGTGTGATAGTGTCAGTTGTAGTTAGTTTTAGTTTTGTTAAGTTTTTTGGTTAGTTATTGAACTTGTAGCTGTTTTACTGGCCTTATGGTTAAGAATATGTGTTATGGTAATGTATGAATGAACCATATTGTAACCTTTATTGGTGGATGAATGAAATCATGAAGCTTTTTTTGTTGCAGCAATTATGTGTTGGAACTCATGTTCTAAATAGCATACAAGTATTCCAAAAGGACAATAGCTTCATAACTTTATGAAAATCAGTCACAAACCATACATAGGTGAGTACAACCTTAAAAACAGTCACAAAAACATAATCTAAAGGTTATGGGTGACCACACCCTTAAAATACAGAAATATAATCCAAAAGAAGCTAGTGTTATGTTAAACATAGCAATTAAACACAAAAACTTAAGTTTTTTTTTCTTCACAAAACAGATATGCAGTTAGGCTTCATTTTGCTGAGGTTGGGACTGTTGTGAAGGTTGATGAGGCTGAGTTAATACAATTTCTTCAGCTGCATGCTCTGCCTGGTTTGCTCTCTTCTTACCACTTCTTCTTGGTGCAGGTGCACTCTCTAAAGCTTGTGCCATCTTTGCTTATGATGTTGCCTTCTTTGCTACTGCATGAGCTTCAGCATAAGTGGTCCCTCATGCTCCTTCAACAGGCTTTGAACACTTATTCACATAATGTCCATGGCCACCACACCTATTTTTCTTTTTTTTCCCTTTTAACATTTTTCTCAGCATGTTCTCCTGGCTCCTTCGCGCTTTTCTTGTTGCTAGGCCTGCTAGACATTTTTCTATAAGGTGGAGGCAAGGGAGCAGGGTATGGTTTGACCTCCCATTGATTTTGTCCTAACATAGCTCTGAATACTGGTGCATAAGCCTTTGCATATGTCTCTACATGATATGCTTGATAAATATAATCCTTATGATTCAACCTGAGCATCCTAATACATGCTAAGGCATGCCAGCATGGAATGCCCATCAATTTCCACTTATAGCAGCTACATTCATGCTTTTCCAAATTCACAACAAAAGTATCAC